GGCTGTCGCCGCCGGGCCGGTCCTAGGGCCGCCGCTCCCTCAGGCCGGGCCCCGGTTGTGCGGCCGCGGCGGGTGTGTGGCCGCGTCCCTCGCCATCCCCAGCCATGGCTCTCTCTGCGCCCCGCGCTCCGGCACCGCTCCGTGCTGCAGCGCCGCCGCCGCCCGCACCGCGCATGCGCGCGGGCCCGTGCCCGCCCCGCCCCGCCCCGTGACGTCACCGCCCTTATTAAGGGGGCGAGCCCCGGGAGGCGGCGGTTAGACAGAGTTGGTGCTGTCGGTGTTGGGGWTCCGCGCCCCCGGCTCCGCGCCCCCGGCTCCGGGCACAAAGGGCCGCCCCGCCGCGGAGCACGGCCGCTTGCCCCGCCCCTTCGGTGACTCCGCGTTTTCCGTGAGCGCGGAGCCTCCTCACCTCACCGGGAGCTTCCGGGGGGTGACACCGGAGCGCCCTACCCTCGGGCCGTGCCCGCCGTGTCCCCCGCATTACCCGCCGTGCCCACCCACGCTGTCCCGCAGCCGCCTGCCCGGGTATCGCTTCTCTCAGGTGCCCTACCGGGAAACTTGYGTTGCCCGGCCAGGGGATGGGCGGTGGGAGCCCCATGGCGTTGCRTCCCGGGGTCAGCCCGCCCCCCCAACTCGCCGAGGTCCTGCGGGGTTCGGGCCGGCAGTGCGAYGGGGAGGGACGCCTCCCTGCAGCCCCCGCAGGGGACCCCGGGCGTGCCCGGCAGTGCAAGGCGAGCATATGTCCCGAGGCGCCCAGCAGCCGGACATGCCGCTGGCTTTCTTTTATTTTTTCTTCAAAAAGAAAGAAAAGGAGGCGGAGGAGAAAGAGCAAGCGAGCTCACCCGCCGGCCCCCCTCGTTAGCTAAGGTGCCTTTATGCTGGAAGAAAGGGCAGATGTGCCTATTGTTCGCCCATTAACAATAACGAACCACGCCGGGCAGAGTGCAGCGTGTGCGCAGCGCCGAGCGGCGGGAGGGACGGGCCGAGCCGAGCCGAGCCGCGGGAGAGCCGCGGGGCCGCAGCCGGGCGGCACCGGGCCGGCGGCGCACAAAGGCTGCCGCCGCTTCCCCCCGCTCCGCCGTCGGGGACCGCGGTTGTTCTCGGCACCCCGCAGAGCCGCCTGTCCCCATCGCCCCGGCCMGGCCCGGGAACAGCGAGCGCATCTCCGCCGCGTTGGGGCTCAGGTCGGGACCCCGGTGTTTTCCAAGGAGGGGGCATTGGGCTTGAGTACCTGTTCTGGCAAAACCCCCACCGGCGGCACGCAGAGCGAGRACAAACCGCTTCATCCCGCGGGATCCGTGCAGAGCTCTGTGACAGGGGAGCTGTCACCCTCCCTGCTTTCCTCTGAAAGCTCCAAGGCCCCCTCCCTGGTTAAGAGGCAGGAGTCACTGCCAGCGACCCAGAGGCCCCGCGGGGAATGCAGGTTGCACGTACGGAGACAGCAGTGGGTCCTGGGGCAGAGTCCCGCTGGGAGCGAGTTGAAATCAACCCCCGGGGTTACTTTTCTCGGAGCTGTTGCCCTAACTTTAGGGACAAGGCCTGCGGAGATTCCCCTCGGTGCGAGGAGAAGGGCACGGCTCGGGAGTCTCTGGGATCTCGCTGTTCACCGAGGCAGCAAGACCCCCGCTCCGCGCTTTGAGCCCAAAATACCGGRGCAGCGGCCGAACCCAGAGCAGCGAAGGGGCCTCGGCGAGGAGCCCCATCGCCGGAGCCAGGCCTGACCCCGCTCCAGCCCTGCTGTCAGTCCACAASGCCCGCGGGACGAGGTGTGGCCCCGCCGCGGGGTGCGGGCGTGGRGCCCGAGCCTCACCCAGAAAGGTCTGGCCCGTCCGCAGCGAGACTCAGAGCTGAGCGGGAGCACCCCTGCCTCTCTCCCAGGCACCGCCGTACTCMTGGAGTGCTCATGCCCTGGGACCCCGGCGTAGGCTCTGCTATCCAGGACCGGGCACGTGCGTGACTGCGTGTGCACAATCTGCGTGTGCCTGCGGTAGAGGAGCTAACAAAAATCACCAAGCGCCGGGAGGCTCGCAGGAAACTTTTAGAATCACAACTATCGTGTGTGTGTGTGTGTGTGTGTGTGTGTGTGTGTGTTGTGTGTACGGCCCTGGAGGCGACTATACTTTTCCCCCTCTATAAATTCAGAATTTCCACAGCGGCTTTACGTATTTCCTGCAATAAAAACACACACACACGCATACACTTTTAAAAATTCAGAGCTACTGAACCCCGTCTCCGAAAGAAATCAATTGCTCACTGCMGTTCATTTTCCCTGAGCGCAAAGAGCTCCCCTGTATTTTATTTTGTGCTAAAAAAAATCCCACATACAGATCCCGCACTGTTCCTACCACCTAGCCACCCCCAATCCTAAACGTTTCCACAGCACTCTAAATTTTTGTAATGTTAACGCTAACAGTGTCTCCATTTCTGATAGCGAGGAATAGATAAGGAAAAGTGTATCTGCGAAAGAAGAAAAAATAAACTTGAAACCTAATCAGTTACCTCAGAAAATGTTTAGGATAAAATAAAATAAAATACAATAATAAAATGCAATAAAATACAATAAAATACAACAATAAAATAATCGAGAACCTTTCGAGACTGAAATGAACAGCTGTGATTGTATCCCAAGCCAACGCAAGGTGATGTCACAGATCTAATCGAAACGTTGTCAGCTTCCTCATTATCAATATCTGTATACAATTTACAGTTTAATTAAAAAAATTTMATCTCCGCACATTGAGTGATTAGTTATCAAAGCAAACGTCACAGCGAATATGTTACTCCCTCGAGTTTGTAGGAAATTGCAACATCAAATTTTTCCTCAAGAAACGAGTATAAACCCGACCCTCTCCAAACAATTTGGAGAGTCCGTGACACGCTGGCCTCCGTCGAGCTTCGATCTCTAACCTTAGAAAAGAATAGCCGTACAAAAGCACCCAGCTTCCCCCAGCCCTACATACATCTTTTATTTTTAAAGTATTTTTTTCCGTTATTCTGGGGGTGACCCAACGAACCGGCTCTGGTGCGCAAAAGCTGTCGGCGCGGAGCACAGTCCCGGTCCCGTCTCAGCTGCAGGGTGCCCCGRGACCCCGGGATGGGCTCGCAGGAGCCCGGGACAGGGAAGGCGAGGCTGGCACACCTTCCCGCAGCCTCGGTTCTCCGCCGTCGGGGGTGCCCGTCCGTGGGCTCCCCTCGTCGCGGATCCCGGCACGGTGCCCCCGCGGAGCCTCCCGCCCCACTGGCGAAGGGCGAGCGCCGGAGAGAGCTCATTTCGGTGCGCTAATCAATTACTGCTTGTGCAGTCAAGTACCATATATTTAACAGAATAATCGTTACCGCCCTTAAGTCTTTATTTGATCAGCAGATACTCGGAGCGGACTTAAAACGCAACTTTGCTTGTTTGAATTGCATGGCGTGTGTGTGCTTTTTAAATCCGAGCTAATGACACCATGAAACGGCCGTAATCTCCCGCCTGACGCCAGCAAACACCGCGCGGGCACCGGGGCCCGCCCGACGGGGCGGCCCGGCCCGGGGCAGCGATCACAGTGCGCCGCAACCGACCGGACCGAGTTGGTTTTCTTTCCTTGTTTTCCCTTTTCTTTTTCTTTTCTTTTCTTTTCTTTCCTTTCTTTCTTTTAAAAATAAAAATTATTGTTATATTTTTCCATTTTTTTAATGGCGTGTGAGGGGGCTGCCGCCGCCCGCGCCCTCCCGCGCCTCCTGTGCAGTGACAGCTTGCGGCACCGGGTCCCCTCGCACGGGGAGCGTGTCAAAGGTGACGCTCGAAGGCTCCCAAAGCCAACAGCTGCCGAGGGGGATTAACTTTTCCAGACTTTCCCCTGTCGAGCTTCTTGGAAACTTGCTTGGCGACAAAAACATATACATCTGTCGGGGGCAGACAGAGAACAGAGGGCTGCGCCGGCCGGGGCAGGTGGGGGAGGGCCTGGCTTTCAGGGGAAGCTGCGGCGCGGCGGGGGCTCGCTGCGGGTGCCCGCCCGGGGGGGGTCCTGCATTCCCCCTTCCGCAGCCCTCAGCCCCGGACCGGCACTTCTGGGGAGCCTTGTGGAACTCAGGGTCGGCAGCGCGGTGACTGAACTTGCTCCAAACCGGTCCTTGCCACCAGCCTAAGGGCTCTGAGCTCTTYCCTTTTCCCCTCTGGAGCCTCCAAGGTGGGGTTCTGGCCGCCTGAAGGACGCGGAGCTCGGAGAGGGTACCGCGAGAGCCCCGAGGGCTGCAGGGCGCTGCCCGGCCGAGCCGCCGCGGTCCCTCTGCAGCCGCGCTCTCCCGCACCCCCCGGAGCAAACCGCAGCGTTTGTTAATGAAGGAACTTATGGAAGATTGCAAAACACCGTAAATAATTTAGCATTGTATTTCAGGAAAAAAATAGCTTTCTTAAATCATCTCCTCAATATAACTTGCAGACTTACAGTTTGGCCCTTGTAAGTCTAAATTTTTAAAGTAGCAATATTCAAAGAGACAGAGATGTCTGTATTAATTATTTATCCGCTGGTGCCTTCCTTCGTTTCTAACTTATTATTAATTAGGCGCCTCTAGTCTTTCGCAGAGAGCTCCACAGAGCCAGTTGCAGCTTTAAATATGAATTAAAAGCAAATCCAAGCTACTGTAATGCGAAAATTATCCCGTGTCTTCTATGGCAGAGATGAATAGCTGCGCAGATCAATACTGTGAAGCTATGCTCCAAACGACAGGGTTATTGATAGCTTATATTAATGATGTTAATGATGGAAAAAAGAAAACAAGAACCCGACCAACTTATAAACTTTTTATCTGCTGGAAC